ATTACGTGGAAATCTTTAATAATTGTTGTTGATTGCAGATGTGTCTAGTAGTTCCCATTGATTTAGCTTGGAAAGCGGGGAGAATGGCGCTAGGCTTACCGCACCGTGACGTCACTGCTGGAAGATGGCAGGAGGGAGGGGCTACTATATTTGGGGAAAGATGGCCGCTCCCAGACTCAGTGATCGCGATGAAAATTATTACTTTTATTTTGTTACTGATTAACGCTAAATTCAGTAAATCATGGCAAACATATTAGTTTTAGATATAAATAATGATCCATTGATTATTCCTGGATGACCGGACTTTTCCTTTAAAACGCTGCAGTTTAGAGATAATCTGCTGCAGCGCCCCCTACAGACAGCAGGTGGAAGGAAAGAAGAAGAAATCTGAGAGGAGGAACAGAGAGCAGCTAATACCTCAGCGAACCAAAAAAAGATCAAACATTAGGAGAATTTCCTCATTTTTTAAAAATGTTTTATTGTTTTTTATAAATATAAATCATCTTTTATTAGAAAGTAAATGTGCAAAGGTCCAAATCCGGCTGATGAAATGAAGGCGACTGCGATCTGATCAGGCTCCTTCAGCCGGACGGAGCAGGATGTAGTGATTCATTAACTCACAGCTGATTTGGGTTTTAGATTCAAAAACTGAACCGTCATCATGTTAAGGGAACCAGAACCAGAACCAGAACCAGAACAGGTCCTAAAGCGGTTCAGGACGTCCCAGACGGTGCGTTTAAGTCCAGTCAGTAGTAGTAGAGTCCAAACATTCATGTGTGTGACGTCTGAGTCCGTCGCTCCTTCTCCGGCGGTCCGGTCCGTCCACAGAACCGCTCCAGCCCGTCCTAAATGGGGCTCAGCGTCTGCCGCTGGTACTGGGTCAGCTCTGGGTGCCAAACGTCCACGATGAAGATCAGGCGGTAGCTGTCGGCCTCCTGCCACACCTCGTGCTCGAAGGAGTCGTCGAAGATGAGGACTTTGCCTTCCTCCCACTCCCTGAGGGACCGGGATAGAGAGGATGATGATGATGCAACAGGAAGTGCTTTTACTGTGAAGGTCAAAGGGCGGCCGATCGGAGCCTCACCTGGTCTGGTTGGTGCAGCGGATCCGGCAGCCCGGTGTGGGGATGACCAGGCCCAGGTGCATCCTCAGCCTGCAGTTGGTGGGTCCGGTGTGAGGCCAGACGTGGGTTCCAGGCTGCATGACGGAGAACTTGATCTGGACCCATCAGAACCGCAGAAAACACACTGAAAAAAACGCTTCAAAGGGGCTGAAATTAAGCCGTAAACTTTGATTCTTAAACTGGAAAAAAAAAAAGAGCTGAAACTAATAAAACTGACTGCACTGAAAAACATATTAAGTAATTTTTTCTTAAAATTAATGCATTTGTTCGTGGATTGAGGAGATAAAAGAGAAAATTTTGCCAATGGAACAAGATAATTTACATTTAAAAAGGAAAAAACAATCAAATGGTCTTATTTCAAGTGAATTTTATCTAATTATCTTATTTAAAGAGTAAAAACACTCATTCTATTGGCATATTATCTCATTTACCTGCTTAAATTAAAGGTAAATACACTTAATTAAAGAAACTTTTACTTGTTTCTAGGTCATTTTTCCAGTGTGCTGGTGCTTTCAGGGACTGTGGGAAATAGAAAAGTCTTCTCTTTATGTTTAAGTTAGTTCTAACTGTTAGTTTCTAACTGTTCTAAATGTTTGGAGGAATGATGATCTGAGCAGCGTTTGGTTTAAAATCTCAATTTCAAAAAGATTTCTCAGTTTTTTTTTTATTTGCACTGAAAAAAATGTAAATCTAAAGTCATTTTTTCTTAAAATAAGTGCGTTTTATCCTGAATTGAGGAGGCAAGAGAGACGCCAATGGAACAAGAAGATTTACATTTAAAATAAGACAAAATAATTGCATTTTCCTTTTTTAAGTGCATATTATCTAATTATCTTATTTTAAGAATAAAAGGATTTATTTCATTGGCAAACTATTTTATTTACCTGCTCAAATTAATGGTAAATACACTTAATTTAAGAAATGTTGACTTATTTCTAGATCGTTTTTGCAGTGTGGTTCCAGTTTCTCTCCATACACTGCAAAAACGATCTAGAAATAAGTAAAGATTTCTTAAATTAAATGTATTTACCATTAATTTGATCAGATAAATAAGATAGTTTGCCAATAGAATGAGTGTTTTTACTCTTAAAATAAGATAATTAGATAAAATCCACTTGAAATAAAACAATGCAATTGTTTTTTCTTATTTTAAATGTAAATAATTTTGTTCCAGTGGCAAAATGTCTCACTTTCCTCCTCAATTCAAGAAAAAAATGCACTTATTTTAAGAAAGAATGACTTATTAAGATTTAATTTTTTTACAGTGTAGAAGGACGGACGCCCTAAAGGTCGGATCGATTGGACAGATTTTAAAACGATCAGGTGATTTAGTGACGATAAAATCGAGAACAGTGTTGGTCGTCCTTCAGCTCATCGCACTGCAAAAACAACTCAGATCTAAATAATTTATATTCCATTAAGGAGGACGTTAACGATGCCTGACTGGGCCCCAGACCTCCTGTAGAACAGCTGATCCAGGTGTTTTGGGGGTCAGGTGAGTCCGACCTGCAGGAAGCTACCTACCTGTCCTCTCTTGCAGCTGGTAGCTTCGGGGAACCTGTCCATCAGGGCGCAGGTCTTCGGGACGCCCTGACAGGCGTTTCCGACCCGTTTCCCTGGAAACAAGGAGGAACGTGAGTTTAACTGGAGTAAAACACCTGGTTCCACCTGAGATCCAGGAAGCTGAAGCACCTTGCTGCCACAGCGTGTACTGGCCCCACTCTCCTTTCTCCCTCAGGTTCTCCTCCTCGGGGAGGAACCGTCCTTTGCCTCGGTCCATCACGGCCAGAGCTTCGTCCCGGATCGTCCTCCAGTTCCTCTCCAGCATCTGGACACAGCGCCCCCCCCCATCAGAACCCCTGCTGATGGAAGCAGGGCGTGTCTGTGTGGCCGTGTGACTCGTACCTTCACCAGGTCCGTGTATCCGGTCTCCTGAGGCGTCCACCAGGGCTGAGCCTTCAGTCCCTCCACGTTGTACAGAGACCTCTGCCACACCGAGGCAAAGTGGCCTCGTTTGTGGCCCAGTTCGTACCAGTAGTACGCCTGCAGACACACAGCCGTCACTAAGACGGAACCAGAACCAGACCTTCAGCTGTTTGCTCCATCGAACCGCTGCCGGCTCGACTCCTTCAGCAGCTTCTGACTCTGAACGTCAACAGCCGCCTGTGGAGCTGGTTGACAGTTGCCTTTTGTATCTATGCTTCTTTTTCTATGTCTGCTTCTGTCTCCTTGAACCCCAGTGGGCCTCAGCAGATGGCCGCTCACACTGAGCCTGGTTCTGCTGGAGGTTTCTTCCTGTTCAAAGGGAGTTTTTCCTCTCCACTGTCGCTACAAGCATGCTTAGTGTGAGGGATTGCTGAAGAGTCAATGAGTCGATGCAATCAGCTGGTTTTCCTTAGATAGAAAACTTTGAATCAATCTGACTGGATGATCTGGTTGAACTGGAGCTATAGAAATAAACTGAATAGACTAACCCTTCATTGCCACCTGGTGGCCAGATAAAAGCACTGCAGAACTGAATCCCAACATGTTTCTCCCTTCAGACAAAAGTTGTTTTCTTCCCCAAAACAGCTAAAAATATTCATTATTTCAGCTCCATGTTGACAGAGCTCGGGTGTTTTCTTCAAAATAAAAGCCTCGCCAGCTTTACGCAGCATTAGCATGCGTCATTGCCATGGCAACCTTAAGGAAAACAGGTTAAAGTGGGAAGATACACAGCCCACTGTGAATGGGTGCCTCCTATAGCACCATCTAGTGGACAAATATAAAAACTAAGAGCTAACAGCAAACTTCCAAATGAAAACAGTCAATATTAAAAAAGAAATGTGACATTAAAATGGGAAAAATTTTAAGAATTTTTTTGTGTTTTTTAAGTTTAGCTGATTTAAGGAATCCAGATTAAATAAAAAACATGAGATATTTTCAATCAGTTGAGCCTAAAAGCGTCCCTCAGTTTCTCTTTAGGCTTTAAAGTAAAAACGTGTTTCAGTTTTTCATCTTTCTCAGATGAAGGACGTCCTCCGACCAGCGGCTAAACTTAGGGGCTGCATCTGCTCCCAGTTCGTTAGCGGTTAGCGGTTAGCAGATAAAGGAAGCCCTGCGCCGCGTCGTCCGTCTTTTACTCACGCTGTCGTCTCCGACCCTCTGCAGCGCGTCTCCCAGGTGGAAATAAAAGCGCCCGTCATCTGTTCCCGGCTCACCGGACTCCAGACCTTCCTGCAGAAACAGGGAGGGGAGGGGGGATTAAAAGGTCCACCTAGACATGGAAGCCAGTCAGAAAGGTTTACCCACCCTCAGGTACGGGATGCTTTCTGCTATCTTGTTCTCCGCCTTCAGGATGAAGCCATAGTGGACTTTGGCAAACCCGTTGCTAGGGGCGACAGCCAGCACCTAGGAGGCGGGGCAAAAGACACAGAGCCAATCAGCGATAAAAAGTCCAACAAAAATGTGATCAGAAAGTTTAGATTTCTCTTATTTCATATATTGATTTATGCTTTTTACTGTTTTAACTCTGACTACTTTCCATGATTGTAACTAAGGAGGAACGAACGCTGCTCAGGCAGAACAGGGCTGATTACCGCGCTGTACGGGATGAACTGATCTCTCTTTGCAAAGATTAAAATAAAGCGCCGACTGAGTGAAATCCATCGATCTCCGTTTATTTAACCAGTTAAATACTTTCTGTCCAACAACAAAACCTCAGCGTACAAACGCACCTCTTCGTAAACCTTCTTAGCTCCCTTGTTGTCGCCAAGCAACAGGTGGGCGACGCCCAGGTCGTTCCTGAGGGCGAAGTCGTCTGGAAAAAAGTCCACGAGCTTCTGCAGCGTCGCCAGCGAGCCTCTCATCCGACCTGAGAGCAGAAGGAGAAAAACAGGAAGCAGGATGATCAGTCCTCCTGTCCGAATGAGTTTAAGGTTCGGTTCTGGAGATGAGGCTCCGCCCCCAAACGCCAGCGAGACGTTTTCATTCCTCCTGATCTGATCGCTACGCCTCATTGGCGACGGTTCTGATGGACCAGGAGTCCCACAGGGAACTAATTCAGGATCATTTAGGCTTTCAGTTCAGGAATCTTCGTCGTTCCCAGAACTTCCTCCAGAAGGTTTCAGGTTCTGTTTCTCCTGAAGCAAATGTTTGGTAGTTTATCTCCAGTTTACAGGAGACTGCTCACAGATTTACATCTGGACTTTGACTAGGCCATGAATCCACTGTGATCTAAACCAGGGGTCTGCCCCTTTTTAAGTCCAGATTAAAGACTCAAACTGACCTTTAATACTTAGCAGACATTGTTTTATGCTTTGAACATTTGTTTTTTCAGTGTTTTTATCTTTCTGTTTATCGCTTTGGTCTTCCTGCTGTTTTAAAGAGCTATAGAAATAGAGTGACTAGAACTGTTCCGGCTGCCGTTACCCAGGAACTGCTGCCTCTCGGCCCGCCTCTTCAGCGCCGCTCTCAGCAGGTCTGAGGTGACGTCGGGGATGTCGGCCGCCTCTCCGTACGTGTTGATGGATCTCTGCAGCAGGTCGTTGCTGCGCAGCTTCTCCGCCAGGTCGTCCTCTGTCTGCGAAGGACACGGGGTTATGGGTGAGGGAGGGGTCGGCCGCCGCGCTGCCGGTTCTGGGACGTACCTGGGCTTTCCCGTAGCGAGCGCGGGGGCTCTGCGGGTACCGCTGGACCAGGGAGTCGAAGGCCTTCAGGGCTTCTTCCAGCTTCCCCTGAGGATGAGGAGGAGAAGCAGCTCAGCTCAGCAGGGAAGATGAAACCTTTCCTGATGGGATCGCCTCTACCTTCTTACGAAGCTTCTCAGCTGCATCGATTTCTGACTTGATGCTTTTATCCAACTTGTTGAACAGTTTCGGTTTCTTCTTCTTCGCTGGAGAAAAAAAATCAGAACCACAGAAAGGATGAAAAAGGGTAAAACCGAGGAGGAGGTTTGATGTTTCTATCAGGTTTTACCTTTTTCCTTCTCCTCAGCCTGTTTCTCTGCTCTTCCTGTCAGACAGGAAGTCCACAGTTTAACCATCGGAGCGGGTTCTGACCATATAAGAGCAGAGCCCACACTGACTGCCGCGGCGCAGGAATTACAGGCGCCATCTTGGGGAGGTCGACCTGCTACCCTAACCAGCTGATTTAACCAGAACAGAAGGATGCCGCAGCACTGCAGCGGGTTTTTGTTTGAACAGACGGCTGCAGGGATAACTTTGTGAAGTCATCAGAGCTTATATACAGCAGATATATATATATATAATATAAATATATATATAAAGAGAGAGATTTGTGTGTATACCTGTATTAATGTGTATATAGTTATGAAAAACATAAAAATGTCTGAGTGGCTGTGCTTTGCAACATGCATCCATCCTGTCAGAATATTCTATTATTATTAATCCCACTATGAACATTTAAATGCACTAAAATATGTTTTTGTTTTCAGCAAAAAAAAACAAATAAATTTAATTCAATATTCAGTGAGTTAAAAGTTTGATAAAACTGATTCCTGCTCAACACATTACACTGAGTGGAGCTGTTGACCTCCCCAAGATGGCGCCACCAAATCAGGTCGGGTCTACTCTTATATAATCTGTGCAGAACCTTTAACCATCCTTTAATCCTTCCCAGCTGGAGCCCGGGGTCTTACCCTCAGCCTCCTGACCGTCCTCTGCTGCTCTAACGCTCCCTTCTGGTTCTGGTTCTGCTGGCTGCCGTTCTGGTTCTGATCCTGCAGCTGCTCTAGACGTTTCCTCCACTTCTGTGATTAAATCAAACATCATTATAAACCAGATAGATTTCGGTTCACAGCGACTTGATGCAGCGAACAGAAGCGCCCTATAACCCAAATAACAGAATAATTTTAACAGAAATGTCTTTTATTCCCACCTGGTTCCTGGGAGACCTTGGAACTGGTCACGTATCGCCCCGATCCGGCTGCAGAACGACGGCAGAGTTCATTAAAAACAATCTTTATTGTTTCATCTAATATTTTATTATTACTGCAGATTCTCTGTTTTATTCCTGGTTTTATTTATTTTTTTGGACCCGTCCTTCATTTCGGGGTATAAAGAGAAGCCTGACTGACAGAACGGAGCCTCTGTTATGGAAATAGGAAATAAAAAGGAAAAATAATCTAAAACCAGAATTATTTAAAGTAAAATTGAAATCAAAACAATGATAAAACATAAAGAAGNGACCTCCCCAAGATGGCGCCACCAAATCAGGTCGGGTCTACTCTTATATAATCTGTGCAGAACCTTTAACCATCCTTTAATCCTTCCCAGCTGGAGCCCGGGGTCTTACCCTCAGCCTCCTGACCGTCCTCTGCTGCTCTAACGCTCCCTTCTGGTTCTGGTTCTGCTGGCTGCCGTTCTGGTTCTGATCCTGCAGCTGCTCTAGACGTTTCCTCCACTTCTGTGATTAAATCAAACATCATTATAAACCAGATAGATTTCGGTTCACAGCGACTTGATGCAGCGAACAGAAGCGCCCTATAACCCAAATAACAGAATAATTTTAACAGAAATGTCTTTTATTCCCACCTGGTTCCTGGGAGACCTTGGAACTGGTCACGTATCGCCCCGATCCGGCTGCAGAACGACGGCAGAGTTCATTAAAAACAATCTTTATTGTTTCATCTAATATTTTATTATTACTGCAGATTCTCTGTTTTATTCCTGGTTTTATTTATTTTTTTGGACCCGTCCTTCATTTCGGGGTATAAAGAGAAGCCTGACTGACAGAACGGAGCCTCTGTTATGGAAATAGGAAATAAAAAGGAAAAATAATCTAAAACCAGAATTATTTAAAGTAAAATTGAAATCAAAACAATGATAAAACATAAAGAAGTGATGGGTCCAAAAAAAAAAAAAACCTGAAATTAGCAGTTTATTGTGAAATTAATCTAGAGAAGTGGATCGGCTTCAGGGGAAAGTAAAGGATTTGGTCGACGGGATCAATTCTGATGTCATGTTTGCTTCATGTTGCATCATCCTGTTCCTCTCAGTTTTCACTCAACTTAACTGAATTCAAATTAACTTAGTTTGCTTTTCTTCCTTTAGTTATTATCTTCAATAAATAAATAAATCCTAGTCCCAGATGCTCGCTTAACTTTCGCCATTATCTGTTCATATTTATGGATCGCCTAAAAATCTATCCGAAAATATCAAACTTATTTTCAATTTAAAACAAAATATAAAATAATTTATTAAAGAAAACAATGGTTTTAAATATGATTTAATGCGTAATAATGTGAGGACTGTGGCAACTAGCGGAGGGCCGCTGCAGACGGGCTAACGTTAGCCCTGGCAGCTACAGACGGGCTAACGTTAGCCCGTCTGCAGCAGTCCTCTCTCTGCATAGCCGTGTGTGAAGGACCGCTGCCTCTGATGGCAATTTTTTTGTTTTATTTGGTAAAATGTTCATCTGATTTGTGTTTATCTGACTGTGTTCATTATTATTCCTCCAATAAATGAAAAAAGTCATAATTTATTATTATCTAGAGACTATTAATAACAGGAGGTGAAATGCAACACCAGACGAGCTTTGAATGTGATGATGTCATCAGTACGCTTCTTCCCGTTCTCCCAGAGTCCAGACTTTACTGGGTTCTAGTCAAGAACGGACTTGGCGAGAACACGAGTCCGTACTGTTGTTCCTGTGAACCGAGGCCTGACATAAAGGACAAAATTACGATAAAAAAGGGACCAACCTCTGGTCTCCTCTGGAGGAGCTTCTTCCACCAAAACTGCAGCAGGAAACAGAGAAGATCAGCAGGTTTCTGAACGAACCAGAACAATCCGACTACAGGTTCCCTTTCAGCAGGCGGGTTCTGAACTGGTTCTAAGCGGCTGCTGGGTGGAAGGTCTCACCTCCTGTGGTGTCGATGGTGTTGGTCTCCTCCTCTGGAGAAAACAGACAACAGCAGAAGACTTAAATGACAAAGCGGTCCCGTCTCAGAACCAGAGGACTGGTGGTTCTGGTACTGACCGTAAGGGTGTCCATCTTCTCTGGGATCGTCTGACAGGAAAACAGCAGAGAACCGTTCAGTTAATAAACACGTCTGATTGATCTGACCGAAAGTTTCTAATGTCTGATTACGAGTAAGGAGAAAGTTTGTGTCTAAAGATGTTCCCCAGAGGTCAACTAAATGGGTTCTACCAATCAAATGGATTCTACCAATAACTTCCAAAAGCGCATCTCACAATTTCAAAATAAACTTCATATCGCATGCAGAAAAAAAGACAGAATTGTGAGATTAAAGTCATAATTGTGAGATTCTGATTGCAGTCCAACAGTGCTCCCTAGTGGCCAGAATAACCATAGCACCTAACAGAAGGAGCATTTTTACCCTTAAAATAAGATAATTAGATATTATACACTGGAAATAAGAGACAGCAGTTGTTTTTTTTTCTTATTTTAAATGTACATCGTCTTGTTCTGATGGCAACGTGTCTCACTTTATTCACCTGCTCTTATTTTAGGAAAAATTGACTCTGATTTACATTTTTTGCAGTGTAATACGAGCGGTTTGTTGCTTACTAGCAACAACAGGCATTAAAGGGTTAAGTTCCCTCCATCCTGTCCTCCAGGTTCCTTTTCTCTGCCAGAAACATGGAGGAACTGTGACTAACCGGATAAACTGACCTGGAACGAAGGCGCTGTCCACAAACGGAGGGAGAGGAACGGCAGCTGGAGAGAAACAGCACAGATGAACACAGCTGGTTATCACCCGTCCTCTGGTTCATCCGTCGGCTGAGGACGGCCTGTTTGTTCCATGCAATGAAGACTTTCAGAACCAGAAGATCTACAGAAACCCTGGATCACTGGAGGGAAGGCAGGAGAGCAGGACGTGTTGCCCCCAAGAAACGGCTTATTAGAGCGAAACAAAGCAGCGTTATGGAAGCAGGCTTTCAGCTGAAATGAAGGAGGAAGATGGTGATTGTTAGTAAACGCCAAACGCAGAGCAGGAAGGAGAGGAAAGCATGAGGTCTGCAGATCAAAGCTGGAGCATCACTGAAGCCATGATCTACCACATGTATGCAGACAGCTCTAAGGTTTACAGCCTGCAAAGCTGATCTACTGAGGAGGACGAGAAAAACCAGGAGCAAACATTTCCAGTCTGACATCAGGATGAAAAACTACTAACGCTCACATTCAGGACGTCTACAGGGCGCCGCCTGTAAAGGTAGGCAGGCAGAAATTAGGAGAAATAAATATGGTTATTTAGCCTGTTATAAATAAATCTTTAGCTCCAAACTAAATATTTAAATAAATATTTAGCTCCAAACTAAATATTTAACTCTAAACTGAATATTTAATTTGTTAAATATTTAGCTCCAAAATAAATATTTAGCTCCAAACTAAATGTTTAGTTTGTTAAATAAATAGACTTGTGCTGTTTATTTGTCTCTAAGGTTACCGGAACTTTCTCCCTCTGAAGACACGCCCCTCTGGCAGGGGTTTTAAAAAGGGTAAAATTCCTAATTTATTGGTAGTCACCTCGGCTGCCAAAGGCTAAATGCTAACGGGTTCGCTAAAGCAACCAAATCCCTCCAGAGAGGTCTGCGCTCAATGGACCGAGTCAGACAGTCTTTTTCCTGGGATTCAGAAGGAGCTGAATGCAGTGTTCCCTGAATCCTGCTGCAGCAGAGAGAGTTAATCCAGCTCTGCTAACTTCAATCTAACTGCCCAACAACGCAGCCCCAATCGCTGTTGGCCGAAGGAGCCGCTAGAAGCCGCCAGATCGTGACTGGCTGAGACGGAAACAGAGCAGCACCCAGGAGTTGCTGGAGGCTACGGCTACAAGCTAACCTCAGTAGCTAAAAGAGAGACGTCTCGGCTACAGCGAGCTATAAAATTAACTCCTTTTGCAAAGTTGCCGCTTATTGTTGCATTGGATTGATCCAAAATGGACTGAAGACGGGGCCTACGGAAAACTGAAGCCGAGCCGAAGGCCTTCACTCCACCGAACCAAAACAGTAACTTCCTCCTGATGCTTAACGAGTGCTCAGCTTGGGTGAACGAGGTAGAATAGATAGCCATGTTGTTTTTTTTATAGGAAATAAGCTCTGATTCAACTTCTGATGCTTTTAAGAGTTTACCTGAATGCTAATGCAGACTGAGTCACGCGCTGCTAAAGCTAACTGCTACAGTGAACTGGCTAGCTAGCTTCAGCTACCTCATGCTGAACACGTTATAAAGGCTACATCGTGAGCTAACCCTTTCTTTGTTTCAGCTCGACCCATTCGGACCAGAACCCCTGGGGCTAGCTAAGCTAACGGGTCTTCTAGCCTCATCATAGTTTAATGAATTCCTGAGTCAGTATTCATTTAAAACTTCAATGCTTTGAGTGCAGGTAACGTTTATTCACGTTTATCTGCTGCTAATTTTAAAGGACACTTGTAAATGCATTAGGCCTTAAACTTTGAACATCCCTCAGACTTTGAACGGACCCTTAAACCCCTCACTGCAAAAAATTAAAATCTCAATAAGCAATTTCTTTCTTAAAATAAGTGCATTTTATCTTGAATTGAGGAGGTAAAGGAGATGTTTTGCCAATGGAACGAGAGACTTTACATTCAAAATAAGAAAAAATTATCGCATCGTCTTATTTCAAGTGCATATTATCTAATTATCTTATTTTAAGAGTAAAAATACTCAGATCATCATATTTACCTGCTCAAATTAGGAGTAAATTCGCCTAATTTAAGACATTTTTAGATCATATTTGCAGTCAAAATGTGCTCCTGGTTTTTTTGGAAAGGAAAAATCCTCCATAATCTACCAACAAGCAGCCAGCTGAGTGTCTGCAGGCAGAGCTTGGTGTTCATGCAGCAGCCGCTCAGAACCAACCTTGGATTTCAGACTCCACGTCCTGAGAGGCGGAGACTGCGGCAGACACACAACATTACCGTCGTCATGCCAAGGTGTCACAGGAAGCAGGTGTGGGGTGTGTTCAGACATTGTGAAAGGCGTGGGAACGGATCAGGACATCGGAATGGTTCTGGTTCTGAAACTGCTTTCAGGTTTAATCCTAGCAGGGAAGAAAGATGGACTCACCTGAAGTTTCCTCCTCCTGGACCGGGTCAGGAGCTCTCTCAGGGGTCACCTGCTGGACCAGTTCCGGAGCTCTCTCAGGGGTCACCTCTTGGACCGGTTCCGGAGCTTTTTGGGTCGACGTTTCCACCTCTGGCTCTCTGGAGTCTTAAAGTAGCAGGAAACCAAGTGAGACCCAGCAGCAGGTCATACTGGACGGTTTAACTGGTTCTGATTCTGGGGCTTTCTGAGTAATGACTGTTTTCCTGACTATGATCTGTTGAACTGTAAAGTGCCTTGAGCTGCCATGTTGTGAATGGCACTATATAAATAAACTGAATTAAACTGATCTTTATTCCAGTAGCAAACCTTCCTGACCCTAATGTAGCGTTCACACCGGGCGCGTTTTCTGCGTCCGATTTAAACGGCAGGTCTATGGCTGACGGCGTCGAGAGGTTTAGCGAAGCATCCGAGCGTTCAACACTAGAGTTCAGTAAATTGAACTTTCGCGGCTAGACATCGGAGCGTCAACCTATCAGGAGTTTTTTTGGAGGAGAGAGACTCTACCTGCAAGCTGTCATTGCTGCTGCAGACATTCTGCAGATGATAAATAAATAACAAGAAGATAAACTCCAAAGGTTAAATAAAGCAGGATTGTTATGTAGAAGGAACAGAGAGCAGCTCTGATCTACGGAAGAGGATTAGGCCCACTGAAAAAATAAAAGTTTTATTTCACTTTAATAGGTTTTGTTGGGATAATTATCATTGAAGATGTGCAAGTTTATAACACCTTAATATTAGCTGCCTGTTGCATGTTAGAACTGATGTTTTCCACAAAAGTTTATCTAATTAAGACAGTTCCTTTGTCTGGATAAACAGTTATAATCTTCATTCAGCGGCGTCCTTCCGCTAAGAACAAAGTGTAATATTTTGATAAGCCTGGAGACTGAGACTCAGCCCAATCAGTCTTAGAGGCAGAGCCTAAAAAAAGAGCAAGGTGGGTAAACTGGTATATCTTGGGGATGTAAGAACTTAGAGATTATTTCTACATCCTATAAATGGACCTTTGGGGTGAAGGTCGGCGTTCTTGTAGCAGGCCGCCATGCGGTCTCTGCTACTTTGAATTCAGGCTGCTAGATTGGTAACCGAGATAACTGTTGAGCGTAGACGGCACGCTTGCTGAACCGCGACACAACCAAACCGCGCTATACTAGTACT